TTTTTTTTTGCAAAATCTTTGAAATAAGTTAAAATGTTTGGAGCCCACATTGCATGACAATAGTATAAGCTACCTTGGCATTTTTGAATGGTTGTTGTTATATGGAAAATCCCTCATGATTTCGTTGTTATTAGTTCTATCAATAACGCAAATTATGCTCCATTTATCGCAGTGGGTTGAGAAATTTCGATTTGATTGACTCACAAAAACTTGCCTAATCTTATGAGATCAACGTCGAAGAAACTTCTCAAAGTAAGCAGCCAAAAGTGTGTAATCTCCAAGTTCTTAACAACACATCCCAGAAACAAAAGATTGAGAGTGCGGAAAGTGGTGAAGGTAGTGAAAATTCATGATAGGGAATGTGAATATTGTAACCAATGTAAGAATCTCTCTCCAGGATGAAGAAACCTGAAGAGTGTGGCAAAACTTTAGGATAAAGAAGCTACTGATGTGAGAGTTGTTTTTAAGATCTATGAATAGGTGAGTCCGCTTAGTCTATACTATCTAGCTGGAGCTTTCCTCTCTAAATTTTTCGCTTAAAAAAGAGCGGCATTTATTGTTGATCAGAAAACTTCAATAGTCATGGTGTTCCCGTCATAGAAGCATGATTCTTGAATTGGAATGCCCTTATGTTTATTAGTACTAATATTATTTTAAAAAATAAAGGCCATTTCTCTTATTCTTTGAAGATAGAGGCCTTTGTCACCGCATTTAAAGCAAAAATTTGTGGAAAATGACCTGGCAAAGCAAAATTTAATGGGATAGGACAGCTTCACGAGTAATCAGAAACACCAGTGAATATACAAAGGTTGGTATCTCGGAGCATTTTCAAATGCATCCATCAAAGCGAGAATATTTCGAAAAGACAAGTAGCATTACATCAGCAAAGAAAGAATAAGTTTAAATAGAGAAATATTAATGGATAAGCTTAATAAATATATTGACGCAGGAGTAGAGGATGTCTGTGTTGTTGTTTGCGTGCAGCACTGGACTATTGGTAGATCAAGTTTGCTTTCATTTCTTCTCTAAATTGCGATCTTTGAAATCATCCTAACCGAGAATTATAATAATCAGTTTTATTGATTATCGAAAATGATTTGATATGGTCTTTAAATCATCTGTTAGTAAGATTAGAAATAAAATTTGACATGTAAATGAGAACTGTAGGTCACTGTCAACATTTAAGGAATCTCCAATCGCCGATACTTTCCTGCAACATATGTGGTGAAGGATAAAGTACATATAGCTCTGATCAAATATAGTGTATGAACTTTGAAAATACTTATTTGCTATCTTTTTGCAATTTGGCTCAAAAAACACTTAAGGATAAAAAAATCCAAATTTGCGGAGAACGATGAACGAGAGAACTAAAAAAATCAAGCACAATTAGTTCTTCAGGGATCCTGTAAGTGCAAATTGTACCGTGTTGTCCAGTACTCATCAAGGCGCAGCAATTCTAACAACTAAGTTCCAGCCTTTCTCGTATCTTTCTGATGTCAAATGATTGAAAGTTGCCGATAGCACGATAACAAAAATCAAGTATTATCGAATTTCTAGCACAGTAAATTAAAGAAAGCAATTATTGTAAGCGTACTCCCAATGGCTAGAAATGGTATAGCGATTTTTTTATGTTGAGAAGAACATGTTGAAGTCACTGATGCAAAATGCTTAGTGAACAAATGTCACTGTCAAAAAAGGTAAACTTTTTCCTTACTGTAATATTTGTTCACTAATAAAATAGGGCTATATCTGCGCATTTCCTGAGCAATTTGGTTGCAGACCCTTTGGGATAGTAATTAGGACTTATTGAATTATTTGCTCTTCATAATATCTGGCTTCAAAGGCAACCCTGCCAATTGCAGAATCTTTAGGGATAATCTTAACATACAATTGCATGCTGATCTTTATTGAACACTTACAAAAATCTTCCTTCATCCAAAAGATGGTAGAGAAATTCTAAGCATGTGGGCGACCCATTTTATTCAGGTACGCCTGACATTCCTGGCTGAATATTGAGCCCAAAGTGTTCCAGGCCTCCTTCTGATCAGCAGTTAATGTGGCTCCTTTGCTCTGCAGATATCCTTGCCAGAACGTGGAAAAGAAAATCTGCAATGAATATGATAGAAAAAATCAATCAAAGTCAGTTTGTAAATAGAACTTAGGGCTTAAGGACTAGGCTTACGTTCCACAGGGCAGGATCAACGTTCCTCTCAAAATGTTCGAGCATAACTCTGCGGGTAAAAGCGCGAAACACGGGCTCCTAAAAAAGGAGCTTCTCAAAAAGGATAAGATGATAAGCATACTTACATTATCATAAACGTTGCTCAAAACATGAACAAACAGAAGGATGGCATCTCCGAGCTTATCGAATCTGTAAGATCAATCTATAGCCTCGATTTAATCCCATCTTTATTTCATGTAATTAAACCTCTCGCTCTTCATAATTTCGTCACCGCTAATGTTCTCAGCTCCTTTGTAGAATCTGCGGTGTTCGGGATACGTAGTAAGGAAGCTTAAAGG